ATTCCTTTAAAATGTATATCGGATTATTGGTACATGTTAAAGATTACTGTCGATTACGGTTCGTCTAAATTTTGCTGTTGTTTATTTAACTATTGTCCAGTTTTCAGGAGTATGTTGTTTCATATGCTTATCATAATATTTCTTTTTATCATACAGAAATACAATGTAATTCTATTGTATACAAAGTGATTTTGCTTGTGATTCCGCTATTGTTTCAGAAATTAAAAGAATTGTCAATGATTCCCCTTATTAATGTTTTTGTTCTACTTCTCAAGTTGCCAGTGGATATGGGTATTGATTTTTAAAGGCCTTAAAGTGCATTTGTTTTTGTTATTTAAACCAAGAATGGTCATTAACTGTCTGATTGCTAGATCTCTCTAAAAAAATGTCTCTTTGCGACCATTCCGATACATTAGGATATTACATTCTACTAAAATAGTACGGACACAGTGTATCCAGATAAAAACAAAGTCATTTTTATGATACTTCGATAAAACTCTCTGCAAAGTTACTGCCATTTGATTAGATTTGCTACATTAACCTGTTATATTGACCATATGAATTTAAAGTAGATATAACTAAAATCTTGAGGTAAACTGCGGACATAGGGAAAATTATAATAAAACCAACGTTTGTCTAATGAAGATAAACATTTCCTTAACTAAACGGGCAATACATTGCATTAACTATACATTATCATTCTCTGAGTGCAGGTGGTTTTTAGTAACCATGGATTGTAAAGACCTTCTCAAATCTTTAAAAGGCAGTGTATAAAATTTTACATAAAAAATATATAAATAGGATAGGAAAGTTTCTTTAAATACAATAAATAAACAAATGGTGGAAATAAATGCCAGGAAACTTAAAGCATATAGTATATGTTTGTTTTTTTGTCCCACCTTGTGCGAGATCTCACAGCAAATCTTTACATTATAGGCGGAAGAAATCCGTTAGCGCCACAATTTATTTGCGGCGATATTACGTTTGCACGACCACTCATTTGCGGCAATATTTTGTCTGCGCCACTCGTTTTGGAATATATGTATACCTACTATCGTTCGCGCCAAAAATTAAAAATACGATTACAAATTTGAATATACAATGGCAAAGTAAAAGTCATTTCATGTCGCTAAAAGCTAAAATAGCATTTTAGTCAGAGGTCATAATTTAATTTAAACATATTTTATTTGCAAAAGTAGTAAAAGGGATTGGACACAATTTACAACAACATAAGTGACGTCCTCTTCCTATTCAAATATAAACACAATATACATTAGATAATGACGAAAACATAATAGGAATGCATGTAATACAAGCTATACATAAAAGCAAACAAAAAACAAAAAAAAACAATATAATATGAAATATTAGATAAGATTGGACATGAGTGAAGTGTGAGAAAGCATAGGAATTCAGAATTTTAATTGTATTATGTTCTGAATCTTGGTGTAATTCTGATATAAGATTGTACAGACTCAAAAATTTCTATATTTTTCTGAAATGTAAGTTCACCGTCACCAATAGTACCTCAATAATGATATTGCATATCTTTCTAATTTAAAAAAAAGTTTCTCTTGCTTCATAATCTAAAAAGGGCACTCGAAAAAAATGTGAATTGGGTTTAATACAAGCTGCAGATCTGCATTTGAGGAACTGCATAATTTCTCAAACGTGTATGAATGATATTTAGTTTTCTATCACCACAACTAAAGTAGGAGGGTGGCTGTATTAATTTGGTTTTCACCTTTCGTTTAAATATATTTATTTTTCGGGAAGTCCGTATGTCAAGGTTAAGGCTATCCCGATCAATAGAAGTAGATGGAAAAAATGATTTTCTTGTTATATATAGTCTATAACGGGGTACTCATAATTGTTACTATTTCGCAAATCAGAATAAGATATTTAACCAACAAGTGGGTGCATTTAAAAATCGGGGAAGTCCCATTATGTAAAGAATAGAACATATTGAGCTTTCTTGACTTTCTTCTGTACGCTAGCAATTGCCAGCCTGTTTCGAACTATATAGGTTCGAGACTAGCATACACGGGCAACCTAGTTACTATTCTCCCTGCTTCCTACTGAACAGGCTTTAAACTGCCAGAATCTTGTTGAGTACAACCATCATATAACTCACATGCATATTCTATAATTGGTCTAATAAATGTCAAGATAATTTCAATTCAATACATATTTTTTAAGAACATTTAATGTTGTGCTTGTACAATATATTATGTTTTCTATATGTGTGTGGAAGTTACTGTTGGTATCAAAAGTAATTCATAAGTGTTTATGACAGGAGACACATTCTACGGCTTGAATTTGAAATTCAATTTCATTACCATCAGGGGGAGTATTGCAACAGAAGGTCATAGCCCTTGTCTTATTAGGATTAAAACTTATTAGCCAATCTTTAGACCATGTTGAGATTTGTTCTAAATCGCCGTTTAAGACACTCTCTATTGTGTATGGGCTACTACTGGAATAAGAAAGGAATGTTTCATCAGCAAATAATCGAGTTAAACTTTTCAAATTATCAACTATGTCATTTACATAATTAGGGAATAATAGGGGACCTAATACAGAGCCTTGTGGAACTCCTGCATTAGTATTCCCTAAAGGCTTTGATGAACTTAAAACAAAAAGCGCTTTGTATTCTATTTGAAATATAATTTTCAAACTTGTTGTACAGTTTTCCATCAATAACATATGCTAAATTTATTAAGAGGCAAGTATGCCATACCCTATCAAAAGCTTTCGAGATATCACATAATTTAAGAAATATTATACAAGTAACTTACATACAATTTTGATCCATACTATTGTCAGCATTCATTATCAATTATCAATTCCCAATCAAAAGTATCAATGAGCTCGTTACATTTATTATAATTTGCATTTCGATAGTCCCAAATCAAACTTTAATAAGTGTTATTATTTGATATGGCGAGATTATTCACGAATATGATAGTTCCATCATGATCATTATACATACGATCTATTTGTTTTACATAGGAATCATAGACACCATATAAGATTGAAGACTGAAATTTGTAGATTAAGACACAAACATGGTCTCGACGGCTTAGTTCTCTTTTTCATTTTTCTTGAAATTTTCAACGACAAATGTTTCTTTTATCTTTTCTTCATAACGTCTGTTTCTTAAAATCGTTGTATTTTTACAACATATGGTAAAAAAGTTCAATTGAAATAGTAGTATATGCTCAGCTGTTATACGATAGCAATACAGTCTTTTGTTCTGCAACGCCACTTTTTCGTTCCGTTCTAGATCTTCCTTGTGTTCCAATAGCCCCGTTTATCCCATATATTGTTATATTTTAGTATATGAATTATGGACTGAAATATGACAACAGATAGACAACGTTGATTTGATGAATATGAATTCGGGTAATTTTGCGCCAATAAATTCCGTATTGTGGCACAATTGATACATTTTGAAAAATAAAATTTGGCGCAAATGATATGTCTTAAAAAATAACAGTTGGTGCAAAAGGACTGCAGCCGTTCGTTTTAAGGTAAGCTTTCGCTTTAATGAATGGCTAACAATTTACATTTCATATTTTCTTCAGATAATGCTGACAACTAAAACATGAAACTGTTCATTTATTCTGCATGTGGAGTTTTGTACAATACCTCCAGATTAGTCTTTTAATTATTCTGTTATTAAGTTGCTCTCTAAAACATTTCTAAAATTAAAGTAGCGGATATTAGAAGCATGATCTCTTTATCAAAATATTAGTGTATTAAACCCCTTTTCGGTGTGACTCCGAAAATCCTTTCTATAGTATAGTTTTGCTCCGATTGTCTATCGAATTAGGTGCTTTTCGAGGTTTGATTTTTCATTTTGTGGTTAAACCTCATAATAGATAAATAATACATAGGTACAAGTGACTTTGAGAATACAATGCAAATGAATAATTCAAAAAAAAGTAGCAAGTTAAAAGATGATATACAATTCAAATAACTTATGGACTTAAATCTGCTTCATTTTGACTCTGGTGAATAGTTGTCTTTTTTGGTAATCACACCACATCTCATTATTTTATATTATAACAAAGAAGTTAGAAATAATTGTCAGATTCACTGTTAACTCCGAGAGCACATCCTTTCTTTACTTTTTATCTTAATTTACAATTTGACATCACAACTCTTACAATACTTGATCCTGCAATCAGCCAACTATTGTACAAATAACATGTACGCAGATACTTTTTTTTGCTTTATTTGTACTTGTACAAATAAAGTCTCCTGTTACTCCGCGTCCATGTTGAGCAAACGGTAATGTGAATATTTCTTTTTGGATAACAGTTAATTTTGGGGTTCTCTTCGCGGTCCGCATTTAAACTATGTCGATTTCTTTGAAAAATCGGAGACAACTATTTGACCTAAACGTGCCGGGTGTAAATTACAGGATAAAAACAATATATGTACATTGTACTCGGTGAGCATCGCTTTTTGGCCCGTTTCTAAAGCTCATACAAATAAATTTGATATTTGCCGACAATGCACATACATTGTATTTGTAAGCTCTCTTATCAACAGTGAAAATACATCCAAGAAGGCAGAGGAATTCATTCTAAATGTTATTTGTATTGAACTATTGTCAAGTTCTGTTTTCTTGGTGTGTAATCTTATTTTCTCTGGATTTGTCTACATAGATCTTGTCTTTCATTTCATGGTTAAACATATTCACAACATTAGACTTCTAGGACTATATAATGCTTGTCATATGTTGTACACGCTTGTTCCTCGGTAAATGCTGACAAAAGTAAATCGTGCTGATATTTACATATTTTCTTGTCTAAAGTGCATATTTTAAAATCTTTCTTCTTTCTCAAATAGTTAGTTAAGTATGATTGTGAAAATATAGCAACTTATTGTCGTTGTTAATTTTCTCGGACAGAAATAATTGAGTATTTTGTGTAGAATAACTAATTCTGTGGCAGTTTATAGGAGGCAGCTGATCAGATAGCAATACTAATCTTACATTCTCTGTATTGATTCTGGACTGTCAATTTTCCATTGGATAAAACCGTTAATCGTTCTTATAAACAAATTCCTTACAAAAACATATTCACTACTAATTGGAAATCTGGCATAAAAGTTTTATTTCTGTTTTGTTTTATTCCAGACGTGTGTTCACTTTGATTAATAATTGGTTTGGATTAATTGTCGAAGGAACGTATATAAAAGTAAGTATCCCTTTATATTTATCACAACTAGCTTCACAGTAAACGTGTGAAAATAAATGCATAAGTTTAATACTTCGAATAAAAGGAAAGGTAAAAGTATCACTTTTAAAAATCCAAGTGTCTTTTATGAATATAAATGATGTGTCTTATGAGCAATTATTCCACATTACTTAATTCTATTATTTTTCCCCAAAACTTGCAAACATGTCAAATGTGTTTGAAAGAAGAAAACACTGGATGGATACTTATAGAATTACAATCTTGTCAAATAGAACGAATAAAACCACTTATAGGAAAAAGAAAACACAAAAATGGGGTAAACGATTAAAAACATTTATAACCATTATTCAAATAAAACATGAAGTCCTCCCTTCACGTAAAATAGATGGTAGGGGAGAACATATTTTTTAAAGGTGTAAGGTAGTAAAAATAGATATCATATAACACAGTCACTAAGACATTAAAGTCTTGACTTGCTATCAGTTAAAAAACTTAGAAATTGAAAAAAAGATAGGCCCAGTCAGTGCAGTTTGTTTTTTTCATCACATATTTAATGAAAACGAGAAGGGCTATGCATGTTTCCCGATTCGTTATGATGCTTTTAACTTTTTAAAGTTTTGATTGTTTAATATTCATTCCTAACATGAGAGATTTTTAACTTCTTTAGCCGGTCGTATTTCATATTAAGAATGCTTATACGTTTATAGATATAATTGGTGATTCAAGAATGTGTTCGGTCTTCACAGGAATAAAGTAATTACTACAATAGTGATATGTAAAAGTTGTTTGTATGATCTGTCGAGTAAAAGTATTCATAAGAACTAAGCCACGGGTAAATCATGTTTGTAATACATAGACAAACTCATTACATTCACCAGATTGTATATTGGAGAAATAAAGTGTGCAAATGTCAAATAAGGGAACACGATTTCCCTAATACATTGTGTATTATTGAATTTACTATCATGCTATAAAAACTTGTCCAAAATAGCAGATCTTGAAAACATTAACTGTCCAAAATATCTTTTCAACCTCTTCAATAACTGAAAAAAATCCACACTCACAAAAACTTAAAAAATAAAAATAAATAAAAAAGCGATAAAAATAAATATTTGTAATGCTACTTACAGAATCATCTGGATACTATACTAATAGTATATTTCGTGAGACCTAGTGTGGACCTTATACTGTCCGGAGAGATGACCGTAAGACCTATTGGCAGCCTTTAGTGACATTACCTGTATTTCAGTCATCAGAGAAATGCTCGTCAGACCTTTTGACTGAAAGATTGCGGTCTGAGATATTGCCAGAATTACAATGTCCGTTGAGATGTCGGTAAGACGTCTGTCTTGCTAGTACCGGCGGGACGACCGTCAGACCTACTGACTGTTTTACATGTAGTGTGTAGAGATTGCGGTCAGATATATTGCCAGTCTTCTCCCCGAAGATGTCTGTAAGACGTCTGTTTTGCAATGTCCGGAGAGATTACCGTCAAACACATTGACTGCTTCACACAGTCGGGAGAAATTGCGGTCAGACATATTGTCTGCCTTACAATGCCCGGAGAGATTGCCGTCCGACGTATTGCCTGTTTTACAATATCTGGACAGATACCCTCAGATATATATTGTTCGCTGTATACTTGCCTTCCTTACACTTGAAGGAGAGCGATTACCGTAGACATATTGTCCGTCTTACAATTTCATTACAGATACCGTCAGATCTATTGTCTGTTTTATACTTGCTCGAGAGATTACCGTCCGATATATTGTCTGTCTCACAATGTCCTGACAGATACCGCCAGATCTATTGTCCGTTTTATACTTGCCCGAGAGATTACCGTCCGATATATTGTCTGTCTTACAATGTCCTAAACGATACCGTCAGATTTATTGTCCGTTTTATACTTGCCCGAGAGATTACCGTCCGATATATTGTCTGTCTTACAATGTCCTGACAGATACCGCCAGATCTATTGTCCGTTTTATACTTGCCCGAGAGTTTACCGTCCGATATATTGTCTGTCGTACAATGTCCTACACATATACCGTCAGATCTATTGTCCGTTTTGTACTTGTCTCCCTTACACTTGAAGGAGAGAGATGACCGTCCGATATATTGTCTATCTTACAATGTCCTTACAGATACCGCCAGATCTATTGTTTGTTTTATACTTGCCTGCTTTACACTTGAAGGAGATAGATTACCATTGAAACATATTGCCAGCCGTGCAATTGCTTGAAAGATGACATCAAACCTGTTGACTGTTTTACAAGTGTGGAGAAAGTTGCCTGTCATACATTGTCCGGTGAGATTACCGTCAGACCTATTATCTGCCTTTCACAGTCCAGATAGGTGACCTTCAGACATTTTGTATGCCTATCAATGTCCCGAGAAGATAGGTCCTAAGACTTATTGTCTGCTTCTACATTGTCCGGAAAGACCAGAGGCGGGTTAAGAGGGGGGGGGTTGTAGGGTGCCCGGTCCCCCGTTATGAAGATACTTATATGATAAATGCATAGCCTTTTTACAAGTATCACACCGAATGTTGGCTTGCCAGGCCCCTTTCAAAATCCTGGATCCGCACTTGGAGATAGTCATTAGACTTATTGTCTATGTGTTTTTATGTAATCGAAATGATGCTTTGAATGAGATTTAAAAAAAACTGTACATCAAAACTTGCATTTACTACATCAAATGTACATTATGCATCCTTCTGTATGCAGCTCTGTTGAACAAAAACATTTGACAAATCTCAAATAGTAGTTCTATTCTATATATATATAAAAGATAGTTTTTGAAATATCTTTAAATATATACTTTCTCATTGGATAATTGGCACTTTATGAGTTTCACGCTGAGAAAGGCACATACAATAATAGATGCTTATTTGGTCTGATCAAGAAGTTATCAGTTAAACATAATTGTATTTGTGGAGCATTTAATTGGAAATTTCGACACTATTCTGTACTTTTTGACATGTAATTTATTTGGACGAAATCATAAAAAATAATTTTCTTAAATTGAATGAAATGTACTGAAAATAAATTATTGTCTACAGCTGTTTCTCGGTAAGCTGACACAAAGATAATTCGTTTTCAGTACAAGCTTTTATTCAGTTTTACCTTGTGTCTGAAATTAAAATACAAAATGTTGATTCTAGAAGTTGAGAGGTTAATTAATAATAAATAACTTGCATGTGATAACTTATCATGCATATTTATATAAAATGACTCAATTTTTATGTTTGACTAGCAATGCCTTTGTTATTGACTTTGAATATCCTCGTTACCGTTTCTAATTTCCTATTTCTAACTGAAAAAGGTAGAGTTACACATAATGATATGTACAGGAAGGACGAATCTAATGAACCCCTTTAATTATATTTCATGAATAAAAAAAATCTTGATTGTTTTAGCCTATTTTATTTCCTGCATTTTTTGGCTTCAATTCTTTTCATCAAACTCAATGCTTCGTATATGGGGTGGGTCTAGCTGTACCTTAAAGAATATCCGCAAATATGGATGGGGCCTGCTGCAAGGCTACATTTCTGTCCATTCCAACAAACCCTGGTTTCCGGTGGGAATTAAAAAATTCCACCCTTCATCCAGGTCAATCTATTTATTGATTTTTTTATAGATTTATTTTTGTCCTTAAAATGCATGAAATATGTGCCACTGGACGTTAAACAAACAGCAATCAATCAATCACTGAATTGAAATAGATAAAAATGGTCATTGCCAGTTGCCAAGCACTATTCAACTTAGGTACACGTTAAGTGGTTTATGAATAGTAATTGTGTTACACCAATATAGATATTCTTCCAGTAAATATTTAATATTTGCAAATGTGAGAATCATTACTTTCAGGAAGGCAAATTTGAAATTAATAAAAACAGCTCATTTATAATTCAATTCAAATAACCAGCTTATTTCAAACATATTAAAAATAAAAAATATTGAGAAAAGAACTTTCAGCGAGTAACCATGGTAACTGATAAGGTAGATGACATGCTGGTAAACCGCAAACTTTAAGGCGAAAGATACCAAATGGACATTCAAACTCATAAATCAAAAATAAACTAACAACGCCACGGCAAAAAAAGAAAAAGACCAAAAGACAAAAATAGAAAACTAAAGACTGAGCACCACGAACCCCACAAAAAACCGGGGACAATCTCAGATGCTCCACATGTGGCACCCGTCGTGATGCTCATATAAGTACAAACCCGATGATAAGTCTAATTCGGTAGGTCACGTTTGTGGTTACGACGATTGGAACATATCCGTCGTCATCTGTGAAACAGATACTAGTATTCCGTAACGTTCAACCAACTCGTAACGGCGTCCGTAAAGTAACTGACACACTCGATCACATGGCGGTTAACCGCAAACTTTCAGCAAGTAACTGACACATTTGACCACATGGCGGTTTACCTCTAATTTTCAGAGTAACTGGCAAAATCGGTCAAATACTGGTCAACAGACAGCTTTCAGCTAGCGACAAACTCGATCGCTAATCAGAAAGCTGCAAACATTTACCGTAACGAGTAACAGTTCTCGGCAAACGAATTGAACCTCGGTAGTTTTCTCAGCGAATCTCAAGATGTTAGAATTTAGTGAAGTGTGTATTCACATCTCATTAGCAAACTGAACCACTGAAGTTTTAAAGGAGCCGTTTTAAAGATTGATATTGACCAACTTCATTGTTTCGTTTCTTTTTGCTATACATTGACTCTTTTTGCTACACTTTGACGTGTGTATTCACATTTCATTAGCAAACTGAACCACTGAAGTTTGAAAAGCGCCTTTTTAAAGATATGATATTGACCAACTACATTGTTTCATTTCATTTTGCAATACTTTGACCGGTGACAAATGTCAAGACATTCTCTAGAGCAATTGAATTGAACAATTGAATGACTTTTAATGAATGGTCAGTAACTATGTAGTTGATATATAACCTTCCTTTGACATCTAATCAGTAATTATACCGATCTG